GCCATGAATACACATATGATGTTTGTCAATTTAAAAAATCATTTCCATGTCAAAAAAGTCACAGTTTGTCGTAAAACTGTTGAAATATAAGACTATGAAAAATACGCAACTAGAAAGACTACAAATCCCAGAGTCGCGTAAGTGATGTCACAATTGTTTACCTCCACCATTCAGATAGCTAAGATCAGCGCAATATAGATATAATCTATCTATATGGCGCTGGCTAAGATCAGATAACTTTAACAAGATGCCTGTGTGCTTAGTACCAGGTTGTTATCATACCAGCAATGGGTCTTGCTCGTTCTTTCGCTTCCCGTCTGATGAAAGGACTAGGAGTGTCTGGATCAAGCTAGCTAGTAGCTAGCACGTTAGTTAGCATTACAGCCTTGTCATTTTTATTAGCCTTAACATGAAGTAACATTAAGTAACCCAACATGTTAAACAGTAAGAGTAGTAGTCATATTTCGTGAACCCTTTGAAGAGTACTGTCACCGGTGTGATCATTCTATAATACACCATTTAAGCCCGGGGGAGAAATGCTTACGCTAACGCTAGCGATCTTCTCTACTTCATGCTATCTGCACAAATGGTTGACATTAAACATTAAAACGACCAGGCAGTTCAGAGAGAATCAAAGGAAGGCAGGCAGGCAGCTTTGCATGACTTTCTTCAGGACGTGTTTCATTGTGGTGATAGTGAGGGTAGTCAATCGTTTTGTTGACAAGACAGTAGTGACGGCCATCTTGGTGACGTGTGTTGTTCTGTGAGACCAGAGATGTAGTTCATTGAGCGTTTCACACAAACAAATGTGTTACTTCACAGTTTTACGACACATTTTTATTTTTTTGACTTGCAAAATTATCTTTTAAATTGACAAACATCATATGTGTAATTCGTGGCACAATTCAAACGGGATCGAAAGATAATCTTTCTCTCTCCATTGACTTCAATACATAATTTTTCCGAAATAAGGTCCCATGGAGGTCCACCGGAAGGGGAGGGACTTCGCCACTCTATATGTCCGCATCTGTAGCCTGTTAATCAATAAGGAGAGACTTCATTTTGTTTAAAGAACATTTATTGACACATGTCATATGATAAATATTAAGTCTTTGGCGATAAGACTCCGATCCTGAAATCGTGTATCTAAAGCAGGAAATGCAGCCGTGAGCATATAGGGAACCCCCAAAAAGGAGGAAAGTGGATGAAAGATTAAGATCGGACCACTTGACGAAGGATCTTACCTTACCAGGTGGCATGGATTCTGCTGAGACGTGATTGAGAATCAGACAGGGAAATAGAGACGAAGCAGGGGGTTTACATGTACATAAACCCACACTACAGGAAAGGGAAAACCACACAAAGCTGAATACAGCCACTTTAAAGTCACGTACTCGGCCGAAAGAGAAGCATTCTCTCAGGCTGCGGTCCAGACAAGTCTCTCGGTTTCATTTCCTATTTTTAGAAATCGTTCCTGCACGAAGCAATTACCATATATGGTGTTGAGTTTGACATACACCATCACACCTTGATCAGAATTCAGAAAATAAAGTAAGAATTCAGAAAAAATCTTCCTTAAATTATTTCTACTCGATCCATAGAAAACATTTAAAAAATCTGAATAAAAAAGTCCTTTTCGAATTACGAAGAAAAAAAAGTCAGACGTCCGAAAAGAACAACAAATTAAGAATTATCGTCAGATATCTTAAAGGGGACCTATCATGCAAAATGCACTTTTGTACGTCTTTTCTACATGAATATGTGTCCCCGGTGTTCCAGGGAACTCACCAAGTGTCAGAAAACACAACCCTCTCTATTTTCCTCCATACCCAAATCTCTAAAAAAGGGGCTGCAACGGATCTGATAAAAACTGATCCAGATTTGAACGCTGTCCTGACGTCAGGACGGTGGCGCTACGGCTATTGGGCCAACTCCACCAATCAGGAGGAGACAGCCACGGCCATTGCCGTTCGAAAGCGCTGGAGACGCTGTAGTACATATGCCAGGCCTGTAAGTTGCGCTGTAGTCTGCCACAAAAGCAGCGGAGAAGACTTCCCGCCCATAGTTACCATGGTTACCCTTCTGTTTATTCTCCGCTGTGGCTTTTTTTCTCCCTTCCCGAGGCAAGCGTTTGCTCCCGCTGCTTTAATTCAATGCAATCCCTCCCCGTCGAGGCAAGCACTGTAATTCTCTCCGGTTAGTCCACCAAGCAGATGACAAACACCCACCTCTCCGCCTCTTCCAAGGAACGAGGGGACCGTGCGGCAGAGTTTCAGTTTCAGTTTCTTTCGCCGGTCAGATGTCCGTTAAAGTTTAAATCTTCCGGACAAAATTAGAAAAGTGCCGGTCAAAGGTCTTCTTTGTTATTTATTGAGCTTTAAAACAAATGAATAACGACTCTATATAATAAAACACGAGGACAGAGATCTCTTTTTCTCCCCCTCTTCTGACAGCCCAGCAGCTGATCAGAGCACGGCTCCCCTCTCCTGCAGGGGGGCGTGGTCAGCAGAATCAGACCCGTAGACAGCAAACAGCACATAGAGCGAAATGAGGCATGGCTAAAATGCATGATCTGTTTGGTATTTTGAAAACAGAAACGTATAAATATACCTTATATAGGTATGGCCCTACAATATATCATTTAAATATAGCATGATAGGTCCACTTTAAGGAAAATGAACATCATTTTGATAGAACTGCTGTGATACAAAAACCACCCTTTACTGATCCAAAATACCAAAAAAGAGTTGAAAAACCACAACAAAAATATCCAATGCCCCGATTGAGAGATGCAAAATAAGAAAAGACAAGATGCAAGGAAACTAAAAACGATTGGCAAAAAGAGGCAAATAACAAAAAACAGATCCAAACGACCTCAGAAGAGTAACAAATAAAATGATGATGAATAATTACTCATACATACTAATAGTGTGTGTTTGAGGCTCTGCAGTGTGTGTGAGGCCCTGCAGTGTGTGTGTGTGTCTGTCCTCTACAGCTGCACTGCCCCTGTGTGTCCAAACCCAGTACTGCAGCCAATTTGCAATTGCAAAACTTCGGGGTGTTAACATGCAAATAAACCCACACTACAGGAAAGGGAAAACCACACAAAGCTGAATACAGCCACTTTAAAGTCACGTCCTCGGCCGAAAGAGAAACATTCTCCCAGGCTGCAGTCGAGACAAGTCTCTCTGTGTCTCTTTGAAGAAGAATCAACGATCTCAGGTTTTTCTCAACAAACAGCAGAATCTCTGGTGAGTTTCCTACAAATCTCAAACACACTGAATACTTCTGTTAGAACCACAATCTGATTTAAAGAAATCTCAAGGTCGCACTTCTCTTTAAGAAAAAACAGAACTGGGATCTCTTCTAACGTCATGGAGTGCACTGAATTTGTCTTTTTTAACTTGTGTATTGTATACTAATACTTGTTTATTGTAACTTGTATTAATACTTTTGACACTATGTCAAAAGTACTTTCTATAGCTCTCTCTCTCTCTATATAGTGCATGGTGTATTTGATGTCGTGGAACAAAACGTTACAAATGTTTGTTCAGATTGTGTTAACCATACACCTTCAGGGTAAAAACCAAAAACACATTCAGAGAACAATTGACCTCCAGACCAGGGGACAGGAAGAGATGAGATATTTGGTCATCTGTCTGTGCAGGCACGAGTTCCTAAACTAGGAACTCGTGCCTGCACAGACAGATGACCAAATATGGTGTTGAGTTAGTCATCAAGCGTCACACCTTAATCAGAGTTCAGAAAAACTTGAGAATTGTGGGTAAAAAAACTGAATCCTGTAAATAATTTGTAATCAATCCAGAGAAAACGTTTTGGAATTTTGAGAAAAATAATTAGACTTCAGAAAAAAAAGATTTAGGAGAAAAAACTCTGAATTTATTACATTTTATTTTTGGCCATTATTATTTCCCTTTTGGCAGAACCACAGAGTTCCAGACGAGGGGACAGGAAGGGATGAAATGCTGAGTCGTGTCTTTGTTTTAGAGTGTAACCGGTGTGGATCAGCGGTGTCCGTGTTGTGTGTCTTTTGAAGGATGAGACCCGAGTCAGCATACCGTCGAGCCGCTCTCCCTTTATTCACTGACAACAGATATACAACAAATCAGTCGTTATTAAATCAGTTTCCCCACACTGACTCCTCTCACGTGGAACACACTCACAAAAAGAGAAGAGGAACACGTGAGGGACACAAAATGAAGGGGGGGGGGGAAGTCCCACAAAAATAATCCTCTGTGTTCAGTGACTGAATTCTGGAGGTTTCAGACCTAGTCAGGTATTGAACGTTTAGTAAATAAAGAACACAGAATTATTGAATACAAAACACGGAATTGATGTGATTATAATAAGAGATATTTGACACTAAACACCACTGCATATTTACAGCTGTTACACTAGTTTCTGAACAAACCGAATACCATATATGATGTTGAGTCATGGGCGTAGGAAGCATCCTAAATGTGGGGGGGACATTTTTAACGGGGGGGCGAAAAAAAAATAGATTTCCTGTATTCTGGTGCATTTTAACAGGTGGTTTGATACTTTTATGTGGCTATACTAGCATGAGGAAAATGATGGGTACATTTTGTAATTTCATCCAGTAGTAAAGAAAGGAAACATATTTGATTATTAATTCAGAGCTGTCTTTGAATTAATAAAAAGCAGTTTAAATGCCCATTTTTTTGTACATTTATATACAACAATAAATATTTGTGAGTGCATTGAGAGATATTGTTGTGGAGAGTCATTTATATATAAATCGCAAAATACATTTGTGAATCCTTCTGTGAGCATTTATTAATATTGAGACTGATCTGACTCCATACAGATGTTAAGTTCACCTAGGAATGGTATCATTGACTTAAATGTTCAAATAAATGTTGCTCTTCTGTCTATATTGGTCATATGATGCCCCTTGACTGAAATGTTTCCTGTTCAATATCCCCACTGATTTCCTTAAAATCCTGGGATGAGAGTCCACATCACAATTTACTCTCAACTGTCATTTCCCTTTCATCACTCACCTCAGCAATGGACCTCTCTCCACTGTCCCTGTATTCTGCCTCTGACTCACTCTCAAGTGCCTAGATGTCAAGAGAGGTGGTGAAGTGATCATTATTTATTGAGCAGTATACTCTTTCACATTGAATCATAACAAGTCATACTGAATGTAAATACAACTGACTCTAAAGTAAGTTGCAGTCTGTGACATTGGACATTTTGAAGACTCAAAGTCCCAAGCAGTAGGTATCTCTCTACCATGACATAAAGACGAAACTCCTCTCCAGAATTGAGACGCCGCCATCACTGTTAACTGATTAACTGCTACCAGCTGATGACTTACTTTCCTCTTCTTTGAAAAAAATGTTCTTATGTCCATGTTGTCTGGGGGAGAAAACATATCAAACCAAGAGATCGTCAGCTTTGATTTTCGCTGTATTAACCATTTCCCGAACATTTGGTGTGTGTGACTTACCTCCGCTACCGGCATCGCTTCATACAACAGATCTGAGCTGTCCAACTATGACAACACTCCTTGAACATGCGCGCGCTATGTGAGAATCTGCCTTGGTACAAAGTAGCAGTGAAAACATGGTACGGAGTTTCATTGATTTGGGCATTCTCTCAATAAGCAAGTGGAATGGATTTCATTTGATAGTGAAGCACTGACACAGCGCTCTACAAAGTGCGGCGAGTGGATAGACCGATTCACGGACTTTTCGCATAGTAAAAGTGGGGGGGTCTAAACCAGTGGTTCTCAACTGGTGGGTCGCGACCCAAAAGTGGGTCGCGGACCCGTTTCGAGTGGGTCGCGGATGTGTGAGTGAAGAAAAAAAAGTTGAAAAAAAAAATTTGAATTTTTTTTTTTTTTTTTTTTTGGGGAAAAACTCAAACTTTTATTTTGAAGGCCCGATTTTCTTCTCAGAGTGTACCAGAATGCGTAGTTTATGTTAGTATTTCTAAAAATCTCCTGGGGGAGAATCCCCCCAGACCCCCCTGTTGGGGTTGGGTTTCAGCATGTGTGCCTTTTTATATAGTTCAGCTTTGATTCCATCATCTCATTAAACCTTTTTTAAAAGCATACTTTAGTTCTGTGAAGGGATATAAGGGATATATGCACTGTACTTCACTTTTATTAATATTGTATGCTCAAAAGCGTATATATTACAGCACGATATTTTGTTGAATAGATTTGAGTGCTTCAAAATGTTGGGTCGCGATGTATTGACCAAGTAAAAAGTGGGTCCCGAGGCCTGACCAGTTGAGAACCACTGGTCTAAACTAATCATTTGAAAAAGTGGGGGGGACTTGTCCCACCCTCATATAATGGCTGCGACACCCATGTGTTGAGTAAGACGTAAACCATCACACCTTAATCAGAATTCAGAAAGAAAGTAAGACAAAATAATTCAGAAGAAAAGTCAGAAATAGGGAAAAATACAACTCACTCTGGGAATGACTTTTGGCTATTGTTATTTCCTTTTGGCAGAGCTGCTTTGATAATATGTGAAAAACAATGAACACATCTGTGTCTCCCCATGTTGAGATAACTTAAGACCTTTATTCATACATTTAAAATATATATTTATTCACTATGTTCTTATTGCATGTGCCTTATCTCTAAAGTGAAAACTAAATATCACAATATATTTGACCAAAAACGTAATAATGATAATGTGTTTCTTTCCCCGTTTGTGTCTTAAGTATATATAAAATGGCACTGTTGGAAGAGCCTGGGACTTGGAATTTAAATGAAACTTTAACTATTTTTAATTTGAAGATAAAACTGTTGAATCTTTGCAGAGATGGAGTACTCGAGTCCTGGACTCGGACTCGAGTGCCGATTTTCGGGACTCGTGACTCGACTCGGACTCGCGCACTGATTGACGCGACTCGGACTTGGACTCGTGAATTCTCGCGCACGATGACTCGGACTCGACTTGTATATTGACGCTTCGAGCAAGTTTTCTCTGGAGTCTGATGTCCTCTATCCTGGCGTGTGCACCGGCTGCGAGGCGAGTTCACGTACTGGGCCCCGCTATTCCAGTCTAAAGATGTCTAGAGACACACCCCGCATCGTGCTGTATGCTTTCACACATTCTGCTTCCACATTCGAAAAGAGCAGCGCAAAATGCTCTATGTGGAAACAATATTGAAGAGAAGGCTCCGTAACACATTACTCTAAACATCGAGTTCAGACATATAGGCTGTCTTGAACACTATCATCAGAGTAACGTGATCTAATCAATAAATAAAGATTCAGCCGATAACACGAAAGCACATACTTAACATGCAGAATGACGTCATTTTGCATGCTAAGTAGCCGTGTGCTTTCTGGGGCTAAATCTTTATCAGTAAACCGATTTAACCGGTAAAAGTTCCTTCAAAATAAGAGTCCCGATCTTATTACTATCAAAATAAAAGTGCAAAACGAAAACTTTACCATAGGAAAATATTGGCATACAAATATAATCACTTCTCTAAAAGGTAACTCATTTTAAACATAGTTTATTTATATATAATAATAATAATATTAATATTAGTAATAAGCTTTATATTTGTATAGTACTATTACAAGAATTGTAGCCAAACTGGCTTCACAGCAGTTCAATAGACAGATTAGTATAACATGACAGGATGAAAGCAATGTAGAGGAGCAGCTACATTTCAACACATATATCCACGAAGATTAATACATGAAGACTTGTGACTCGGACTTGACTTGGACTCTTCTTAGGTGACTCGGACTTGGACTCGGACTCGAACACAGGTAATGATGACTCGGACTCGGACTCGACTCGGACACTCCTTGGGTGACTCGGACTTGGACTCGGACTCGACTACGACTCTCCCTTGGTGACTCGGACTTGGACTCGGACTCGAAGAGTGGTGACTCGAGAGTGACTTGGACTCGTGAATTGGTGACTTCAACACTGAATCTTTGAACCTTTAGTCTTTGAGTTATGTCAGTATATCGCCCAGCCTGAACGTTGTTAGAAATGACTCGGCTGTTCCTTCCTCTGTGAGAAGGTCCATGCATCCAATATTGATTTTAATATTGAATATGTTCTTATTATGTTCTGATGTGTTCATACTGTCTCTCCTGTGTGTCCTGTTCAGGTCACCAAGACGAGGCGTAACTGAGGAGGAGGATCGCTGAGTCTCTGCTGAGGTGTTTACCGCTCTATAGCAGTGGTTCTCAACTGGTCAGGCCTCGGGACCCACTTTT